TGCTGCCAGTCTAATGTTTCTACCATTGTAGGTTACAGACCTCTTGTCCCAAGCTGCTTTCAGGATTTTCTCTTTGTCTCTGAGACTTGTAAGTTTTACTATTAGATGTCCAGGCGTTGACCTATTTTTATTGATTTTGAGAGGGGTTCTCTGTGCCTCCTGGATTTTGATGCCTGTTTCTTTCCCCAAATTAGGGAAGTTCTCTGCTATAATTTGCTCCAGTATACCTTCTGCCCCTCTCTCTCTTTCTTCTTCTTCTGGGATCCCAATTATTCTAATATTGTTTCATCTTATGGTATCACTTATCTCTTGAATTCTGCCCTCGTGATCCAGTAGTTGTTTCTCTCTCTTTTTCTCAGCTTCTTTATTCTCTATCATTTGATCTTATATATCATTAATTCTCTCTTCTTCCTCATTTATCCTAGCAGTTAGAGACTCCATTTTTTATTGCACCTCATTAATAGCCTTTTTGATTTTGACTTGGTTAGATTTTAGTTCTTTTATTTCTCCAGAAAGGGTTCCTCTAGAATCTCCCATGCTTTTTTCAAGCCCAGCTAGTATCTTTACAACTGTCATTCTGAACTCTAGGTTCCGACATCTTACTAATGTCCATATTGACTAGGTCCCTGGCAGTTGGTAATGCCTCTTGTTCTTTTTTTTTTTTTTTTTGAGGTGAGTTTTTCCATCTTGTCATTTTGTCCAGAGGAGAATAGATGAATGTGAGAACAAAATGCTGACAGGGTAACAACGACCTCAGAGAAATATACACTAAACAAATCAGAAGAGACCTTCCAGAAAGTGATCAGTTTTTTTTTTTTTTTTAAGAGAGTTGCTGCTATTCTTTTCTTTGATTTCCTCTTGAGTTCATAGGTGTTCAGAATGGCTTGATACCTATCTGGATGAATTCCTGGGAACAGATGAAATTTAGATCTCCTACTCCTCCACCATCTTCCTCCTCCTTCAACTGGCATCACCAGATCTGATCAGCTCTGCTATACTGACTTGATCAAACTCAGAAAAGTGGTAAATTCTAAGGAAAATTGCTAGCAAATCCAGAGGCAGAGAAAATCAAACTGACATTTTCCCCCCTCAACTGGAGACCACATGGAACTATTTCTAAAAAACAAAAACAAACAACAAACACAATTTTATAAATCTTTTTTTCTTCAAAAAACTCAGAGTGAAAACCATAAGAGGGAATCTTGAAAGGAAGAAGCTTCAAACTGTGGTTGGTACAGAATTGGCTAGAGGCATCTGCTTGCAGGGGAAAAGCTGGACCCTAGATTGGGCACCATAGTTAAAAAATAAAGTTAGAAAACCAACACTAGTACAAACCATAGTGCTGAGTTGCTGAGTCCAGTGAAAATCAGACCAGGCTGATGGAAGAGGCCAAGAGAGGACTCAGAACAGACCTTAGCAGGTCTCTACCTTACAGCAGAGCACACTGCATGGTCCCTGTTCCACTGGCTTTTTTGCTGGTCCTTAATACACAACAAGCTCAACCTTACCTCCCAGATTTTGAATTGATCATTACCTCTGCTTGGAATGCTTTCTCACCAAATTTTTCACCTTAGGTACAAACCTGGCCAAGAGTTGGGAAAGCAAATTCTGGCTGTGCTGGCAAGATTCTGTGCGTTCTTGCACCATAAGCGTGATAACGAATGTTCAACACTTATTGAATGAATATGATAGCAAAGAATGGCCAAATCATGTTTCCTTGTTTAGAAGAGCAGGCTGAGTGGTTGCTAAGCTCTTATTAACACAGCATATTAGCCGAAGAGACAGAGGAACAAACAGAAACCTACAGAGATAATATTTTTCTAGGTCAGTCTTAGTGAGCTTAATACTGTGGTAAAACAGAACAAAAAGTGAGAGGCAGGAAGGTCTGAGTTTGCTGATCTTGGTCAGTAGATGGTAAATCAATGCTTAGTGATCACATAAAATACCTCCTATATGTGTGGCTTCACGCAAGTGAGGAAAAATTATTGCTAGCCTGGAGCAGCACGTGTATCTGGAGCAACATGAGATTGAGGATGAATGTGTGTTCTAAGATGTCAGTCTTCCTGTATTCTACCACTAATTTTTTTTTTAAGGTTTATGTATTTATTGTAGAGAGAGAGAGGTAGCATACGCAGCGTGGGGAAGGGCAGAAGGGAAGGGAGAATCTCAATCAGACTCCCTGCTCAGCACAGAGCCCAACTAGGGGCTCAATCTCACTACCCTGAGATCATGACCTGAGCTGAAATCAAGAGTCGAAGCTTAACTGACTGAGCACCCATGAGCCCCTCTACCATTAGACATCTATAACCATTCCTCACAAAGGGCAATCTCCATTTAGAAGTGAGAAGAAACCACAAATGGATGATCTTTCATGCCCATCAGACTCAGAATAAAAGAAAAAAGAAATATATCAAAAAAGAGAGAGGTATATTGCCAGGCATCTGAAAAGTGTAGACCAGTGGTTTTTCACAAATAAAAAGAATTTGTTTAAGATATGAAATTTTTAAAAAATTAAGAAATAAAGAAACAATTGCCTTGGAGAAAAAAGAACTCAACACACCCGAGCTCTCAAATAACAGATGAAATAAGGAGATAAAAATTTAGCTTTCAAATCTCAGAGGAAAAAATAAAAGAGATAAAAAGCACTTGTTACAGAAATGGAAGTGACATTGGAAGGGGAGCAAAAAAGGAACAGAGTAGTTAAACTTGTAGTTAAAAAAAAAAATTTTTTTTTAACAAGGAAAACCCCAGGCCTAGATGGCTTCACTGGGGAAGTCAACCAATCATTTCAGAAAGAAATATTCATTCCATACAAACTCTTCCAGAAAGCTGAAGTGACAGGATGCCCCTTGTGTTAGTCTGCTCAGGCCGCCATAAAAAATACCATAGACAGGGTGGCTTAAATAACAGATACTTATTTTTCACAGATCTGGAGGCTAAAAGTCCAAGGTCAAGGTGCTGGCGAGGTAGGCTTCATTCTGAGTCCTCTCCTCTTGGCTTGTAGGTTGACAGCATCTCATTGTGCATTCATGGGGGAGAGAGAGAGAGAGAGAGAGAGAAAGCACACTGGTGCAAGATCTCTGGTGTCTCTTCTTGTAAGGGCATGAATTTCATCATGAGGACCCTACCTTCATGACCTTATCTAACCCTAATTACCTCCCACAGACACCATCTCCAAATACCATTACACTGGGGGGTAGGGCTTCAATATATGAATCTGGGGGAGGAGGACACAAACATCCAGCCCATAACACCTCCCAAACTGATTCTATAAAATCAATATTATCCTGATACCAAACTACACAGACATGTAAGAAAAGTACAAATAAATATTCTTTATGAGCATAAATGCAAAAAATTTAATCAATTGGATCTAATAATATATAAAAATATAATAACATCATGATCAAGTGGAGCTTTCCCAGGAATGCAAGAGTTTATAATTCAAAGGCTCCATCAATGCAACTCACCATACTAACAAACCGAAAAAGGAGAAAATGTCTGATAATCCCAATAGATGCAGAAATGCATTTGAACAAATTCAACTTCCATTTGTGATAACAACTCTTAGCAAGCTAGAACTAGAAGGAAACTTCTGCATTCTGATAAAGGACATCTATGACAAACCTACAGCTCATTGTTAGGTGTTATGATTTCGGCTCTGACTTCAGGACTGTATCTCATTACCAACATTCATCTAACTGTTCACTCGAAATGGGTGGATTTCATTTTATATAAATGATACCTCAGTGAAGCTGGGCAAAAGTCATGTTATAAAATCTCTCATGCAGAATATTTTACACCACTTGCTTGTAACTATTATCTGGTCAACACTTCCATATTTCCATTGAAAGTGTCTTCACAAGCACACAGACACAGAAATGATTCCATTTTAAAACAACACAGTCATGTTATTCTTTCATCAAGACAAATAGGTGTCCCTGTAGCTTCTTCCTAAGAATCTTCATCCTGTTTTCTTCAGTGACATTGTCCTGCCAACAGTTCATCATATTTTGTTTTAAGACCTTTCTCAATGTGATACATCTTTATGCTTCAACAGTGTATGATAACTCATTTCTATACATACTCCAAAACTTTCCTCCTCATTATTTTATTTCTTCCTCAATAAACTCAATAAACAAATGCCCCTCATAACTTTCAACTGCTCTTCTCCTGGTGAGTTTTACCCACTTGATTTACACTGCCTCAACAAAATGGTTAGCAAGACTGTCTTATCACTATTACATGATAATGTCCCCATGCAGAACCTGAAGTCTTACTGGAACTAAAGCTGGCAGAAACTATTGATATTTTTATCCAGTTGTAGGTGAGACAACAGAGAGATGTCAACAGAAAGAGCTGACGAAGGGTAAGCTGGACTTGTTCATGCAACACAGATGGAGAGTCAAGAGTATAGTCACTGGTACAACAAAAGTAAATAAATAAAAACCAGGGGCTTAGAGGAAGTGTTCTGAAAGCCAGGGAGAGAACTAACCTGAGAATGGAGGAATGCAAATAAGACCAACCAAGAATCATGGAGCAGTGTCTACAGAAGTAGAAGAACGTGGGACTGAGAAGTCAATGAATCACTGGAATCTTCAGAATCATACAAAAGTGAAGAGAATGTACTCCCAGGGATTAAGTTTGGGACTGTGTGCCTGGATAAAGGCATTATTTTCAGATAATTCCCCCCAAGTCTCTGTCCACAATCATGAGTTTTCATGGACTATTACTCCTACATGCTTGAACTCACATAGGTCATGCTGACCTAGGAAGCCTTTGGACCACAAAACAGGTGACAGATTATAGAACGAGGGGAGGAGAGCCAGGACAGTATCATGAAATCAGTCCATCCAGTTTAATCCTCATGCCACCCATGTCCAAATCAAGTATCTTTCCTACTTTCAATTTTTGCTTCTACCCTACATTGTACCTATTGTTCTTGGTACCACCTTATGAAACCTCATTATTGGTTCTCACTTGCTCCTCTCTTGATTCAGTTCCATAGATGGTAGAACCTTGCATATCCTTGACTTCTTACTCAGCCTAGTCCTTACCTCGTGGTGGCTGCGGACATCACACTTTGACAAGATACATTGTTTGGAAGACCTTTCTAACACCTACAGAAAGTGCTTGGGAGAGGTATGTCTTCATTGTTAAAAATATTTCTTTGTTATTTTTTAAAAGATTTTATTTATTTGAAAGAGAGAGAGCAGAGGAAGAGGGAGAAACAGACTCCCTGCTCAGCGGGACAAACGTGAGACTCCATCCATGGACCCTGGGATCATGACCTGAGCCAAAGGCAGATGCTTAACCAACTGAGCCACCCAGGCTCCCCTGCTGTTAAAATTATCATAAATACAGGAATCGAGTTTTAATAGTATGCCAGAATCCAATAGAATACATTTAGACAACTGGGCTAAGAGCTCTTGTCAAATTGGGTATAGAAGTTTGCCCCAGAATTCACTTGAATAAGACGAAATTCTGAGTACAATAGAAGAATGTGAATTAGGACTGGAAGAGAAGCTCTCATTTGAGAAGCTGTAGAGAGTTCAGAAACACTGAGAAGCCTCAGAGAACATTTGGGTTCTTTGTTCTCCTCCTCACTCCATGATGTACACCTAAACTTGGCTTAAAATGCCATTGTTCATCACTCTTATTAATATTTTTCCTATTTTGCCATTTGTATGAGTTCTGGTCACACTTAATCCTATTACAGAATCCATTGGCTGGTAGGTTGTTCCAGTTGGGAGAGACATTTCCTTGCAGTTAGTTGAGGTCACTGTCAACACCTGAAACTCAGCAGACATGAGGATTAGGGCCCATTCCACTGGTCTTTGTGCAGGCACATGCCTATGAGGCCTGTTTATTGAATTGCAGCCCCTGTGTCTAAGGAATGTGCTTTCTGATTAGATGAAAGATAATATTTCTTGGTCTCCCCCACACCCCAAACATACTCAGTTTCCATGATAAAGGTTCGGTAAGACAGTGTTTGGATAATATAGAAGGCATGGGTGTAGTATAATACTGAGCCCATAATAAATGCACAAAGTGCTTCATGGTGAATTAGCCACGAGAGACCCTACCTCCTGTATCTGAGGGACGTTTTTGTAGTTTTACTTGTAAAAATGAAAAATATATGCAGCGGAGAGTGAGCTGGAACAGATATTTAAAGGAATAATTTATTTCCATCAAGGGACAAAAAAAAAAAAAAAAAAACCCAGCTAGGAGGCCACAATATTGTTCCTGCCTTTTAATTCCAAAGTCAAATGAGACTATCATATAGTAAATCTATTTGTGATAAAAAATATATATATATACAGTGTTGCTCCGGTTCCACTATTAGTTCCATTAAAAGAAGTGATTCTTTTGAAGGGAGAAGGTAGGAGAGAACCATAGAGAGGAACATTCCAACCTTAGGAGAGCAAAGGGAAACACTGGCAGTAATCTAGTTATTACTCTATTTATGTCTAAAATAAATGCACTCTTACCAAGCAGCGGTCTGTGATAGAGCTGGATTGCAGTTGTAAAGCCTGATGCTGCCGCCGGTCTTCCCTATTCCATTTCTAGAAGTTGTGTTGTTATTATGCCACAACGCTCACAGATGGTTCTAGAGAGTATGGTAGGAGTTAGTTGAGCATCAGCCCTGCCTCACTTATCCCTTAGAATAACCGCAGAACAGAGGCCATGATTAGAGAGTGGAATTCAATGACCATTATTCCTGCTTGTGTTATTAATTAGGACACTCTACATGTAACCAGATGTGCCGAGGAGCCCGTGATTAATGTAACAGAGAGATCCTTTCAGGGTCTGCAAGTTACACGCACGTCAGTTCCCAGTCATTCCCAGAAACTGTTAGAACCCATGGTCAGATTTTTCTCATTTCCCATCCTCTGTGCAGGGCGTGCTGGAATGAGTTACTGAGGGAGCACCGAAGAATAGTAAAACTATTAATTCATACATGCATAGCACGCTTAACAGCTTATAGAACACATACATACACATTACCTCATCAGCCTTCACAACCATATGAGACAGATCACTAATATTACCGCCATTTTTTACAAGTAAGAGAAGGGAGGCTTAGCAAGCACAAGTCACTTGCCAGGGTTCCCCGGTTTTTAAATAATGGAACTGGAGCTACAATGAGTATTTTTTTATTGCAAGTTTGGGGGACTGTCTACACCAAACCAAAAAGCGACCCGCTAGCTGCACAGCTGGGAAACACCCGTCTATTATTAGGCAGAGCCCTTTCCGAAGGGCACGTTATCTTGATGGAACACTAGCTCTCCATCCGTTTGAGGCAGGGAAGCAGAGGGCATTTGGGGCCTTTGCCGTTTCTGAGAGCCACACTCCCCAGAACACGGGCCACAGAACTGGTTGCTGGTCTGCTGTTTGTAACTGGTCTGCAGTGTGATAAGTAGCAAAATTGAGAGTAAGCGTTTGGAAAATTTTATAGCAATTGGACAGAGTAATCTTATGTCTGTTGAATAATAAAGAACTGAGACTTGACTTTCAAATGTCCTTTAAAAACAAGTTTTGTTTTTCTACTCATTTGTGCTTATTGTGTCTTACAAAAGGGTGAGTCCGCAACTGATTGTGGAGGAGACTGGTCCCTCTCCAGATTTTGGCTAAGAATCACTGCGTTAGGGAATGCTCACTCTGCCCTACCCCAGGGCCTGTCTGTGTTCAAATTCCTGAGGGCGTCCTTAGCGGGCTCGGCTCCACTCTGTTGAACTGGTTTCTCATGGATTCTGTCTGAGGGGTCCCTTGTCATTGTTTTCTGAAGAAATCTGAGTTTATAGAAGCATATCCTGCAGGGTCTGTAATAAGAGTGGTTGTGTTTTCTATCGCTACATCACAAATTAGCACACATTTAGTGGCTTAAAACAACACCTACTTATTATCTCGCAGTTTCTGGAGGTCAGCAGGCTGAGCACCGCATAACTGGGTTCTCTGCCCAAGGTCTCACAAGGCTGATAGCAAGGTGTTGGCAGGAATGTGGGCGCCTCTGGAGTGAGAGGCGCTCTTCCAAGCTTGTTCTGGTTGTTGGCAGGATTCAGTTTCCTGTAGGACGGAAGCCCCCGATTCCTTGCTGGCTGTCAGTGGAAGTCACCGCTGGCTCCTAGAAGCTGCCTTCAGATGTTACTTGGGTGGCCCTCCTTCACAGGCCATTCACAACATGTTTGTTTGCTTCCTTCCAAACTGGCAGTGGGGTTTCAACATTTGACTTTCTTTTAAAGGGTTCATCTGATCAGGTCAGGCCCACCCAGAATCATCTCCCTTTGGATTAACTCAAAGTCAACTGATTAGCGACCTAATTACTGGATTGCTATCCTGTCACGTTCACTGTTCCCACCCACACTACAGGAGAGAGGATTGTACAGAGCATGTATGCCAGGGGTGAGAATTTGGGGGTCATTTTCGAATTCCGACAACCACGATAGTCAACACGCTATAGAAAGATGCAAGGAAAATGCATTGCTATAAGGACTTCTCTTATTACTCTCTTTAAAGAGTTTCCCTGAAAATATTATTAATTAAAATGTATAAGATGCTGTTTATGTTGCATTACACTGATTCCAGGCCTGCCTGTGCCCTCATTTTCACAGCAGGTAGAATCATCTGTCCTGAGAGGCATTTTGATCTTCAAGATAACAGAGCTCTCTAATGCCTTCATGCAGCAAATCCAGACCCCTCAATGTTTTCTACTGTGGCTCTGCCAGATTACTGGAAGTCTGCTGACTACAGCCGGTAGTTATGAGACTCTGGGACTACAAATGGAACAGAGCCCATAATCTTAGGATGAGGTCAGGAAAAGTCAGGCTCTGAAACTAACAAAATCAACACCCAGTCCAACCACTCATGACAGCGTCTGTGACTCAGCCTGACGTGTCATTCTTGAGAGAGTTTCCCTCTGAAACTAAGGCACCGAAAATCAAACACAAGAAAAATGAATATAACACAAGCTGCAATCATGGAAATTGCAATAATTTTATCATGAGGTAATGCTATAATGACAGAACACTTTGTTTTGCTCTTTTCCCCATCTTATGTATGTATGTATGTATTTCAAGTATAGTTGACACATAGTGTTACGTTAGTTTCATGTGTACAACATAGTGATTGGACAACTCTATATGTTATGCTCTGCTCACCACAAGCATAGTCACCATCTATAATGACAGAACACTTTGGACGCTGCTGAGAATGTTGAAGAAGCAGTCATTGAAAATAGACATTTTCTTTCTGCTTGCAATACTACTTAAAGATAACAAAGTCCAAAAATTACTGCCCTTAAAAAATCAGTACCTGTGGTGATTACATCTGCGATGGGAAGAAGTATCACCAGAGTTTTGACGACTGTTCTCTCAATATCATTCAATTTTGTTCATTAACAATAGGAACTAACATTTGTATGGTACTTCCAAAAAACCTCTTTCATTATTTCATAGACATAGTTTTATTTATTCTAAACTTAAAGTCTCAAAACAATCTTCTCATTATGGTTAGTTTTGTCAGGTAGATTATCCTAATTGGAAAAAAAAAAAGATGCTCTGGGCAATAATCAGAAACAAAAAATTATTAACTAAAATAAGCAAAAAGGGGGGGGTATTTATTAAGTGGCTAGCAAAGGATAATTCTTAAAAGGGGATAGAACAATGTCTCTTATACAGATAGAATAAACAAGTCAAAGATTTTATTTAACTCCTTAATTAAAGAGGGAAACAATAGCTGTTACAACTGGTTCAAAAGGGAACTCAGAGTACCACGTATTTATAGTTGTACAAAGAATGCTGACACAAATTTAGAAGTGTATGCAGTTACTCTTAGATGAACTGAATAAATGGAATTTTCGAAGTGAGCAACAAAACCCAGACTTCTTGTATTCTACCAAAGTGTAACCAGTTTGTGAGATCCATACAGAAAGAAGGTGAATTATTTTACATGAACATTAATGGGGACTAATTGCATGATTAAATCAGCAATGTCAATGGGCTGGAGGTAAAGGGGGCTTTACAAAATGAAACGAACTCTGTTCTATCAGTCTAGGTTTTGCCAGTTCAGTGATCTCATATATATTAAAGGTTGGATTTTTCTGTTTACTATTTGGTATGCAAACTAGACTTCAAACTTTTCTTTAACTTCCTGACTTCATCCTATTGGAGACCCAAATCAATGTATCTTTTCACCCAGCCTTTCCCTCCCTAAAGACAGCCTTCCTGTTCCAGATTTGCTAACAGAAGGGGACACTGTAGGAACATCTTGATAATTGAGACATCGTTAGTCTAATTACTTATATCACACCCCTGCTTCACCTTCGCCCTCCCCTATTTCTTGGAGAAGCATCTGCTAAATGTCAGTAGTTAAGATGTGTCAGACAGAATCCAGAACTGTATAGCTTAGTTTGTTGGGAGGCAGCCAGAGAAGAGAAGAGGAAGAAAAATATTTCTTTCAAATTCTTTTTTCAGTTGTCGGTCCTGATTGTTTTACAAAGAGAGAAGGGTCCAACAAAAATCTAAGGAGAGGATATTGTGTGCCTGTGTGAGTATGTGTGAGCATATTGTGAGTGTGTGTGTGCAAAAAAGAGAGAGAGGTTTGCTAATCAGCCAAGGGTAAGGGTATACACATATGCTGGAAAAAGCATGACATCATTGGCATGATTTATGTGCCAGTTAATGAGTTAAAGATTTAATGGCTCTTTAAATAGGGTGGAGAGAGGAATACATATAAAACTCAGCATACCACTTATGCCCTGATGGATCAGACACTAAAATCTAGCTACTGAACTAGAGGTCAGTCATCTGTATGTCTGACTATTTGGAGAGGATATCTATTACTAGCTGCAGATAGTCAAAATTATGTATACTATCAATGAAATGCAAAGGTGATATGAAAGCAACAATTCTCTCCTGTCCAATGAGTGTTTCACCCAGTCTCTTTATGTGTGGAATGGGGCCACCACCAACAGTAAAACAGGGATTCTCTCCTCAGCCCCACAGAGGAACGGCTATTTCACAGAAGCAATCAACATTTCAGTATCTGTGGAGGTTTAAGTCATTTGAGGAAGAAAAATCTGTTTGTTCAAACATCACCACTTTATTTTGTAAATAAGAATGTCATCTGCTTGGGGCACCTGGGTGGCTCAGTCGTTAAGCATCTGCCTTCGGCTCAGGTCATGATCCCAGGGTCCTGGGATCGAGCCCCACATCAGGCTCCCTGCCCAGCGGGGAGCCTGCTTCTCCCTCTCCCCCCGCCCCCCACTCATGCTCTCTCTTGCTTGCTATCTCTCTTTCTCTCTCTATCTCTCTCAAGTAAATAAAATCTTAAAAAAAAAAAAGAATGTCATCTGCAATCATTCATATGTGTTTCAGTCCCATAGATTCTCAACTTGGGGTGCCCCTAGAACCATATAATTCCATTTCAGCCCTACTATGTCAAAACACCCAGACGGGAGGCCCAGTTTAAAAAACCCCACAGCTGATTCTCATCTACGCTAGTTTTCAAGAACCACTTTATTTATTTTTTAGTATTTTATTAATTTATTTGAGAGAGAGAGAGAGAGAAAGAGCACAAGCAGATGCTTAACCAACTGAGCCACCCACCACCCAGGTGCCCATCAGGAACCACTTTAAGCCAAGATGTCCATCGACAGATAAATGGATAAAGAAGATGTGGTATATATATATACAATGGAATATTATGCAGCCATCAAAAGGAATGACATCTTGCCATTTGCAATGACATGGATGGAACTGAAGGGTGTTATGCTGAGTGAAATAAGTCAATCAGAGAAAGACATGTATCATATGACCTCACTGGTATGAGGAATTCTTAATCTCAGGAAACAAACTGAGGGTTGCTGGAGTGGTGGGGGGTGGGAGGGATGGGGTGGCTGGGTGATAGACATTGGGGAGGGTATGTGCTATGGTGAGCGCTGTGAATTGTGCAAGACTGTTGAATCACAGATCTGTACTTCTGAAACAAATAATGCAACATATGTTAAGAAAAAAGAAAAAGAAGAAGATAGCAGGAGGGGAAGAATGAAGGGGAGTAAGTCAGAGGGGGAGACGAACCATGAGAGACGATGGACTCTGAAAAACAAACTGAGGGTTCTAGAGGGGAGGAGGGTAGGGGGACGGGTTAGCCTGGTGATGGGTATTAAAGAGGGCACATTCTGCGTGGAGCACTGGGTGTTATGCACAAACAATGAATCATGGAACACTACATCAAAAACTAATGATGTAATATATGGTGATTATCATAACAATAAAAAAATTTAAAAAAAAAGAACCACTTTAAAGAAGATTCAGATTGCCATACCTGTAAGATCAGTAACCATAGCTAGCAAATAGACTGGTGTGTTACTAGATGGATACATACATAGGGAAGAAAATTACTTTTGGAAAAATAATCCTTAAAATACAAATCATAAAAACTTTATGATTGGATAGAAACAAAGACCAAGGAAAGGAATATAAATAACTAAGTACACATTATAACCCTCTGCCTAGCTTATAATTTTGAGCAACACTGACCCTTATTTCTCCTCACCGGACTGAGCACGAAGCACTCTATCTCAGTGAGGTCAGGGGCTTTGCAGTACTCTGCCATATCTTCATAGTTCAGAACAATCTTGAGCACAGTGTGTGGACTTAATAAATAATTGTTGAATGAAAGAATCATGTTCTTAGAGTCAGAAATCATTTGGGGATGCAACTGCTTGACTGCTTTTGTTTTTTTGATGCAGGAACATCACTATTCTAGTCACTGATTATAGCACAAATACCTTTCACACCTCACCTCACGATTGCCTATAGCCAGGGCCGTATATGAGCTGTTTTGGTCCAAAAACCCATTCCTCTGCCTCTTAAGTCCAATATCCCCCTGCGTTCCCTAATGGGAGAAACTTTTCATCAAACTGATGTTCCCTGCTCCAAGATCTGAATTCTGTTTTCAGGGGCCAATAACAGTAAGAAAAAAAGTAAACTAAAACTAGTTAAATGCACCTTGTTCCTGTCACCATACCTCTTTAATATATTTTTTTCCCATTAGAAAGAGGTTACTTTTGGCCATGAAATCACCCACTTCTCTTCTACAACTATAGCAGACATTAGCAAAAGTGGAGTTTTGCTTACTTCTCTGGTTTCCATAATTTACTATTTGGCTCAGGCTTTTGGTTGAAACTGCTCTGAATAATTAAAGGGAACAATGTGTTTTCCTTTCTCTAAACATTTTACATTTAATAGAATAAACTTACTCATTCACATAAAGCTATGTCTATGAACTATAGCTTGATCTCACTCCTAACAGAAAATTAAATTACTGGTGACTCAAGATGCAAAAATCAAATATTTTTAGAAGAAAATATAGGTCATGATTTTTTTTAGTAGATGCTGAGAAAAATCCTTTTCTAGGGCATGACAACAAAAGTAAGGAAATTGTTGAACATTCTCCTGTTTTTTTTTTAAAGATTTTATTTATTTGTCAGATTTTATTTATCTGTCAAAGAGACAGAGAGCACAAGCAGGGAGAGTGACAGAGGCAGAGGGAGAAGCAGGCTTCCTGCTGAGCAGGGAGCCCGATGCGGGACTCGATCCCAGGACCCCGGGATCGTGACCTGAGCTGAAGGCAGATGCTTAACCGACTGAGCCACCCAGCCGTCCCCATTCTCCTAAGTTTTGAAAGAAGAACAAGAAATCCTACATGGCATAAAATGGCTTAAGAAAGTTAGGGTACACTTGATAAAATGGAAATATATATCTTCAACATAATTTTAATAATGATATATATATAACAATATATAGCTACTCTTTTATTGTCAAGTCATCTTTGAGCATTTATATACATCAAAATCTATGTATATAACAATTATAGTACTGATTTGTAAGATGATTACTATATATTTACATAAAAATTCATACAGATTGGGTGCCTGGATGGCTCAGTCATTAAGCATCTACCATTGGCTCAGGTCATGATCCCAGGGTCCTGGGATCGAGCCCCACATCAGGCTCCCTGCTCAGCGGGAAGCCTACTTCTCCCTCTCCCGCTCCCCCTGCTTGTGTTCCCTCTCTCGCTGTCTCTCTCTGTTAAAAAATAAATAAAATCTTAAAAAAAAATTCATACAAATCAACGACAAGCAAAAAAAAAGAAAATGTCCCATAGAAAACTGGGTGAAATAGAACAAGTGCTACCTTCTCTCTCCCTCTCTTGCCTACCCCCAACACAACTCTACCATTCATATGTCATCATATACATACAAATTGGCACTAAATAGTAAATAAATAAATAAAAATCTTCACTAGCAATCTAAAACCAAAATTTAAGAAAATTGAAAATGAAGTTATTACTTTTTATCCATCAGACTAACGAAGATTAGGAAAACTATATCTATTTTGAAGATAATGGGAGACATAGTCTCACTGGTACTTTAGGTAAGTATAAATATGTATATTCTTTTGGAGAGTATTTTGGGAACATCAAGGTTTTAGTTGTGTATATTCTCTGGCTCATCAGTGACATCCAGGAATATTTCCTAATTGATGATCAGATAAGCATGTAAATATATAAGAGAATATATAGAGAATTCATCACAGTGTTAACTTACGATATTACAAAGACTAGAAACAATCAGAATCCATTATTATCACATCGGTTAAATACAGTACAGCCATATACCACGGTATTCTTAGCTTAGTTCCAGTTCGTGGCTGGTATCCTGTCACGATTAGAAATTGTGCCCCCTTTTACCCTTAAATTGTCTCATTTTAAAAACTAAATTATAAGATCAGTCGGCTTAAGTATTTTTTTAACCAATACAGTTCTTCATAGTCATTGGAAATGATATTAATCTGTATCATCTGACATTAAACATCACATGTAACACAGTGTTAAGTAAAAAAAGCAGTGTATAAAACATGTTACAAAATGAAACTACTCTGGGGCTCCTGGGTGGCTCGGTTGAGCATTGCACTCTCGATTCCAGCTCAGGTGATGATCTCAGGGTCGTGAGATCGAGCCCCACAAGAAGCCCTGCATTGGGCTCTGCGCTCAATGGGGAGTCTGCTTAGGATTCTCTCTCTCCAGATGAACCATGAGAGACGATGGACTCTGAGAAACAAACTGAGGGTTTTAGAGGGGAGGGGGGTGGAAGGATGGGTTAGCCCGGTGATGGGTGTTAAGGAGGGCACATACTGCATGGAGCATTGGGTGTTATACGCAAACAATGAATCATGGATCACTACATCAAAAACTAATGATGTATGCACTACATCAAGAACTAATGATGTAATGTATGGTGATTAACATAACAATAAAAAATTAAAAAAAAACTAATGATGTATGGTGACCAACATAATAAAATAAAATTAAAAAAAAGGATTCTCTCTCTCCCTCTGTCCCTCCCTACCTCTAAAATAAATAAGTCTTAAAAAAAATAGAACTGCTTTATATATATGTATATATATTTGATGCATACTCTATATTTGCTAATAAAATACACTAATAACCCTGGTTGTTGGAATTCAGGAGTATCTTACCTTATCTTTTATATTTCTATAGTTTGAACTTTTATAATAAGCATGCATTATAATTAAAAATGAAGCTATTTTCATTTGGGAAGAAAAGCAAGTCACAAAAGTATAGATATTTGATATGTCAGATAAATAATACACAAAAATAGTAAGTTAAGCAAGTTGCTTTGTGCACCTTAGATATTAAAGTAAACTCTACAGACCAAACATTATTTACTATTTTTTTAAAAGATGTATTTATTTATTTGAGAGAGAGAGTGTGGAGTGAGAAGCAGAGGGAGAGGGAGAGAATCCTCAGGGAGACTCCATGCTGAGCGCTGAGCCTGCCACGGGACTCAATCTCACAACCCTGAGATCATGACCTGAGCCGAAACCAAGAGTCAGACATTAACTGACTGAACCACCTGGGCAGCCCCCAAAATTATTTACTATTAATATCAAAGAGAAATATTCTATGAAAAAAATACAAAGGCTTATAAAATTCAACAAATGTTAGTCTAATTACTAATATTAAATAAAGAGATAGATATATGGATACATAAGCAATGGTTCAAGAACTAAAGTTACCAAGAACTTCATCAAGGGATATTTTGATCATTGTCTTGGGACATTAATTTCTGCTATTTCATAAGCCGGTCTTAAGTCAGTTACTAAATACCAACTACTACTAGATCAATGAAAGCTCTTTTAAACTGGCACTGGTTTCTGCTGTTTAGCTACAAAAGAGTTGAGAGTGGCAGTAGTCTCCATGGAAAGAAAAAGTGAGATAAGAACCTACTCAGATCTGCCTGAATTATCACGCTCCTTTGTCCTGCACTTACCATCAGTGCTTTGGAAATGGTGACAAGAAGGAAATTCTTGAACGGAAACAAAGAAGGACAGGACTGAATTAATTCCCTTTTAGTGTTGCATGCCTAATTACTACTTTTTCCTTTTCTCCATGTACTAGTTTTTTTTTTTTCTCCTTTTCTTTTATAGGAAGTAAATGAGAGCAGGTGTTAACGTGGAGTAATATGCAGAAACAAAGCCAAAATCATGGCTCTGGCTTTGCCTTTATTACCATTGTTTTTATTTTAGTTTGTTTGCCTGCCAAGTTTTACTTGGAAAGAGCATCATTCCTCAAGGAGAACTATAAAAGTCACCAGTTTTGCAGAATCAGAGACAGTTAGCTCTATAAAAACACTGTCTTTAATTCATTAGTTTCAGTTGGAAAATTTGATACGCAATCCTATTGATTACAATTAACATAAATAGTATCCTTATGTACTTTGATGGCAAATAGGACACATTATTCCTATAAGGTCTGTATTTATAAATTTAAGTGATGAAGGGTCATAGCTTGAAATAACCTAAAATTCTCATGTTAATGCACAAGTTTATATTAAGAGTATTTTCAAAACTAAATATAAACAATTAAACTGAGATGTTCATCTTATAGCAATAAATACATATTTAGCTTACTTGATATCTAACAGCCTAGTTATGATACTAAATGTTATTTTGCAATCTACTTCCCCTTTCGATGCCAGCATTTAATGTTCTGATCTTTCATTTATATTGAAATATAAAACCTCAGTGAAACAGTCAAGTAGTCTCTCTAAAATGTTATGATTCTGTGGTTCTGTTGCAAAATGGTTCTATGACTACATATGGTCCTTTGCTCAGTGCAAATGGAGGAAAAAAGCTTACAAAGTAATTTTTATCTCCTATGAGTGCCTAGCTGGTGTAGGATAGACACGCAAATGCTTGTCTACAATGTTTCCAGCTGCAAGATAAATGAGCAGCTATCATGTGCGTTGCCTGACTTACTTAACCAGAAACATCAGCCTTCACAATGAAAAACCATAATCATTAAACTGGCATTTGTTGGCTTTTAAATTTTCAATATGTTGTGGTTTCCTTTCCTTTTCTAAATAAATGCTCATTTTTGTGTCTAATTGGTAATTGTTTTAGTTTGTTTGGCTGTTAAAACAAAAATACCGTAGACTGGTGGCTTAAAAACATTTATTTCTTAACAGTTCTGAAGGCTGGGAAGTCCAAGATCAAGGCATGGGCAAGTTCTATGTTTGGTGAGATTCCTCTTCCTCATTCATAATCCCATTCACAAGATTACCCCTCGACCTCTATCCTCTGTCCTTATGACCTAATCACCTCCCAAAGGCCCTTCACAACAGAAGGTAGGACGTATGAAATTGGGAGGAACACAAATATCTAGTCCATACAATATTTAAATGTTTCACACCCCATAAAACCTGGATGCTTTCTGTTCCTCTCTACTAATATATCTGTGAGATCCCATGAAACAGTGTATGAGTTCACAACACGATAAAACTGAAGCCACAATTTTTTCCACTATTCTTCTAGTTATGAAAAATATAACTTGTACCAAACAGCCACTAAGACACTAGACAGAATACATGACTTCCTGACTGAATTCTGCCACCTTGTTTGTCCACTTGAACAGTAATCCCCAGAAAGTTAATCAGAAATTTCCTTGTTACATGACGTGGTTTTTATGTTATCAGAATGCTGCTTCCCACCTTATTCAACCCAAATCTGTCTTTCAGCTGGTGGGACACAGTTTCTGGACAACAGTTAAAAAGGAAGTAAGGGGAAGGTGGACAGTGTATTTTGAGAGACCATCAAGAACATCAGGAACGGCCCTCACAGTGGAAAATTCTAGAGATACTATATTTGGTACTTGATCAGTTTGAAGCAGGGAATCTAAACCTGGAGGGTCCAGAGATCCATTGTATGCAAGGAGATGACTGAGATCCAAAAAGTTTATGAACTTCCGATATGGAGAAGAAACCAGGAAGAGAGGGCAAGCCATCACACGTAATGGTAAGAGTAGAGCGTGAGGCCAAACAGCTTGGGTTGGGATCCTGGCTCTACCACTTACCAACTGAGTGATCTGAAAAGGTTGTTCAGTCTCCTGTTCTGCAATTTTCTCATCTCTACAACAGCTACAATAATAATATCTACCTCATAGGGCTTTGGGGAGGGTTGAGTGACTGAAATACGTAAAGCTCTTGGAACAATGCCGAGCGTATGGTAAATGCTATGTATTTGTTAGCTGTGATGGTGATGATGGTGGTTGTGATGGTGATGATGAAATTCTGCCAGGCACTTGGAACAGAGTTTAAAACTTCTTGCTCCCAACTATAAACCAAAATAGGGATTTGACTTTTTGAAGAAGGAATCGAGATGAGGCATTTTGCTCCTGAAAAGAAAAAATTATCTGGAAGAAAACTCCTACTATTAGATAAGGGGATGGAAAATTAAAACAACAACAAACAACAACAACAACAACACCAAAAACAAACCCCCACAAACTGCACATGGATACTATAAAATATCAAGCTTAAAAAAAGAGAATTTCAACTGAAATAAACTCAGAAGAGAACATCCTCTAAGATTTATGTGTAGCCAGGAGAAAAAGAAAAAGCAAAAAATGGTGTTTAATTTTCTGAATTTTTCTTTTATGTGGCTTCTATGAAACAAGTAAGAAATCCAGGAAAAGTCATGAGCTAGTTTAAAGACAAAACAAGGTACAATGTATTAGAAATGAGGGGGATAAGAAATAATTTCACGGACATTAAAAATACAACTGAAAAGAAGAATATTGATGTTCTTCCACAGCAATAAGGGGCAGAATCAGCGATACACCAGACAAACTTGAGAAGTTCCCATAAAGCAGAAGGAAAGGATAGGACAAGAAAACAATGAAGAATACAACAGATAGAAGAATAATGAAGATACTAACTCATAGTTATTCCTGAATGAACAACAGAATAATTGGATCCGAAACAATAAGAAGCAAGATTAACATTTCGTTAGTGAACAATCAAACAGACAATTAGAAACACATGAGTGTGAAGACAGACTTGGA